TGAAGCTACGGTACAATGTAAAGAATCTAATCCGTATTGTGTGGTTGTAACTATACACATTGTACCCAGGTGTATTCGAAACAACCGAAAGAACTTTGAAAGAATAATTCACTACCTCAGCCACGAGCGCGGCCGCTGCGTCGGACAGTACCATTGGTGGCAGAAGTGGGTGAGGAGGTCGCAGCAGCGCCATTGACCTTGTCTTTGTTTGCTTTGGTTCTAGTCGTGCTCCTCGCGGACTTGGGCGGTGTGGCTTCTTTGATCAGATTGGCAGCTCTGCGTTTTTGGATGACTGGTAATGAATTAACGCCGTTCGTGTTAGCAGCACCCTTTCCGCGTGTTCTTTTTGCTGGCGCAGGTTCGGGCTCGGGCTCGGGCTCGGGCTCTGAAGACGATCCTGGGTCTGAAAGTTCAGAGTCTTCTGCTTTATCTCCGTGCTCTTTCTCAGCCGCTACTTCTGCGTCGTTCATAGCCACATCTACTTCCGCAGCAGGAGTAGATTTGTCTTCTTGTTCTGCATCCGATGCATCGCTCTCTTCTTCAGCTTCTTCTTGGATATCTTCAGCAACACCTCCTGCGCCTTCTTCATCGCTTGATACCTCAACATAGCTCTTGTGTGCAATGCTCCGTCGATCGCTCTTTCTTCGTGGTCCACTAGATGGCGGAACACCGCCCTCAACATCGCTCGCACCATCATCGTCACCAGCTCTCCTCTTCTTCTTCGGTGTCTTAACGGGTCGCTCAGTCTTGGCCTTCTTATTCTTGATAGATCGGTCGCCCTTGATCTTCTTACGTGGCTTCTCCATACCATCTGAGGCCTTACGCTTCTTGCTTCGAATAGCTTTTCGCACGAGTACATCAAGTTCGTCGACGAGGTCTTCCCCAATCCATGTCTTCTTGGCAATCTCTTGCGCCCGATCGTGACTCTCAAGAGGCCGGAAGATACCGGAGGGTAATTTCGTTTTCCCTGGCCATGATTGCATTGTCCAGTTGTTCTGCTCTTCCCACGAACGAATCAGAGCCTGCGCTAGATCTGACAAGATGTAAAGATTCTCATCAGCCTGGCGTGATGGTGCAATGCCGTCTGCTACGCCCTTGACGCGTTGAGCGACATGAAAGATAAGCGACAGGTTCTCCTCAGTTGCGATACATTTGAGGTAATACAAGATGTACTCTGCCATAAGCTTTAGTGTCTCGTCTTCTGTGTCGAAGTCGGGGTGGTGAGCAAGCAAGCTCAATAACCGAGCGAATACGGTCTCCAATATTGTCTCCTTTCGTGCAGAAAAAGCAGCGCGGCGTGCTCGAATCCAGGTCATGGTGCTGTTCTTGATGGTCTTTTCAGGCTCATGTGCGAGGAAGAAGAGGATGGTATAGAATCGTGGCGGCAACCGGCCCTGACCAAGATATTTCATCAACTTGTTAGCAAAGCTCTGACGCACCTGCGCACAAGGGTCATGTGTAATGAGAGCGAGTTGAACAAAGTCAGCGGGGCTCAAGAAAGCATCTAGGCGCTTGTTGCATGAGAGTTTGAGTAAGGAATTGGCTGCAAGAAGCCGCTGGCGCGATTTGTGTCCTGCTGGGGTGTTGCCATCCGCCGAGCCTTCTCCGCTGTCTTTCACGTAGCGGTTCAGTAGCCTGTACGTGTCTTCTGCAGCATCGTTGAAGTTGGCATCAGACGGCAAGGAGCGTAGCCGGTTCACTAGAATCTTGATCGCCCACGACCTGCCTTGGATTTCGTCATCCGGTATATCCATCCACTCGATATCTGCGTCGGCTAGCATCACATGTGGTTTCTGGAGAACCTCCTTGATAGCAATCTCAACGATGGCATCCATATCATCTTCGCAATCTTGCTGCGCTAGTGATACTAGTTGACTCAGCGCAGCTAATTTGCTAAGCCAGTGAGCCCCAGCGTACTGGAAGCCTTTGATGCTCTTCGTGAGAATTTCCTTCGCATGCATCTCCTTCTTGTCATCACTGTTCATAATGATGGTGATTGCATGCTTTGCCGCTTGCGGAGGTGTACCGTAGAAGGCAAAGTTGAGAAAGCTTTGTACCAACTTTAGGCTGTCCTTTCCGTTCATTGGTATGTCCGTGGGGAACTTCTGTGCAAATGCAGCACAGGCTTTGAGATCGTCTACTGCACCAGGAGGGTTGGGTTTCGTTGCTGTAGGTGCCTCACTTTCAAGTGTTTTACAGAGATCCTTTACGTGGGTGGAGAAAACCTTGGGGTGTTTCGTGGAGATTTCTTTCAACAACTCGTGAGCAGTGGCACCAAGGCCCTTGTCGTTGGTGCGAGTATACTCGATGACAGCTGGTACATGGCTTTTGTTGTAGCACAGTAGGCTAACGCGGTAGAGAAGTGGTGTCAAGGTATCGAGCACTGAAGAGCCTGGCCCCTCCTCAATCCTCTTTCTTAGCTCCTTGATGGACCTAACAACCCGGCGGTAGTCACTCGCTGGATCCACGCAGAACCGGATGAGAGCATAGGTACGGCGATCGTGGGCTTTGGCAAATTTCCATAAATCGTCCCTAACGCGGGTTGGATCGGGAAGTGTCTTCGCGTAGTAGGTGATGAGGCCCTCCAGATTTGTCTTGACATCCTTCTCACACTTTTCTGTGACGCCACCATTGTAGTCTTCGCATAGTTTTAGAAAGTGCTCCATGTACCTAGCACCGGGACCCTGGTTCCCTTGTTTCGCGAAAAAGACCTTCTTGGCTTTCGCCTCCAGCCCGTTGACGAGTACGAGCAGTCTTTCGGTTCGCATCTTATCCAGGCCTGCTTCTGTGTAACCCGGGTCGTTGTTTGTCTGGCTGTCTTTTCCGGTTTGGGAGTTCCCAGCTGGCGGTGCTTTTGCTTTCACGGGTGGATAAGCAAGCGGAAGCAGCGAGTCGTATAGCGCGAGATCGACCTGCACGTTGATTTCGAGGTCGTTCACGTAGCAAGCTTCGAGAATACGGGATGGAATTGGGCCGAGCAGAGCCTTGATGCTGTCATCGCCCTCAGCGATGGCACCAGCAGCTACACCCCATATCTTGCCGAGGAGTCTCATAGACTCGGAATGGATGACGTTTTTCTTGTCCTTTACGCGATCGGCAAGATTGGAGAGAATGGACCCTGCTTCCGCCATACTGCCGTTGCTACCGAGCTTGCGAACGATGTCGATGAAGTCAAAGTGCGCAATCGCTTTGACGGCGGCTAGACGCACCTTCTCGTCGCTATCAATCAAGCATTCACTAAAGTACTTGAGCAGCTTCTGTTCTTCTTCGAGATCGAGACCAATACCACCCGCGGATGTCATCAATATGCGACCGATTCCGGTGGTCCAAGCGGCGCGTATGATGGCAGACTTGTCGTTCTTACGCTGGAGGAAAGAATGATAGGCCACAGGGTATTGCGTGGGGAACGAGTTGATGGAGACTGGCGTGGTGAGATAGTCGAAGGGTCGCGCCGAGTCTGCGCGCGACAGGCTCTGTGAAGGATAGGCCACTGGGTCCATGTCGGGCAGAGGAGGTGGGCCAGCTGCACCAATGCCTGATATCATGTCGCCGAATGTTTCGGTAGCAAGCTGACGGAGCTGCACATTCTCCGTGGCGAGCTCGTCCTGTAGATGCGGGACGATCTCCTGAAGCACGCCAGGACAGCATTTCCATAGCTCGCGCAATAGCCGGTGTGCTTTATGTGCCTCATTGATATCGTCCTCTGAGGGGCCGCGACGAAGGTCGTCGGCACCTTGGTCCTTGGAGTGGGGCTTGTATGTGCTCCCCGAGTTGGTGAAGTCGACAATGACTGAGCTGAAATAGTTGCCGATGAGGCGAGCCATCTTCTCTGGGAAAGCGTTGCAGACATTCTTAGCCATGTTGTAGGCGGGCGGTGCCTCTTTGCGCCGCAGCGTTGATTGCTTGGCGTCGATGTGCAGGCTCTTGTTGGCCCTGGCTGAGGCGGCGAGGGTGAAGGGATCGGCCCAGAGAAACTGGGCGACGACAACGTCGACCACGTCGTGCGTGACTGCCGGGGCCTCGTCTATGATGGTGGAGAGGATCTCGGTCATGTTGTGCTCGACGTTCTTGCTCAGCTCTTGGCCGCTGGACGAGGCAGACAGGACGTCGAAGCAGGTGGTGAAGAGGGCGGCGGTGAGGTGATGGGAGCCCGGGATCTCGTTGATGAGGAGGATGCTCTTCCATTCGGCGAGCGAGCGGAGGATGTACATGTGCTGGCTGTTGTAGGGGTGCGCGGGCTCGGCGAGGAGCGGCAGCAGCTTGAGGATGATGACGGAGAAGATGTCCTTGAGCTTCGAGGCCGGGTAGGGCGCATCGGGCGCAAACAGCTTCAGCATGTCGACGATGCAGCACAGGGTCCACGCGCGGACGCCGTTGTCCTTGTGCTGCACGAGACTGTGGTGGGCCAGCGACTCGGCGACGGGCATGAGCGAGTCGCGGTGTGCCTCTTCCTGGTCTATGGTGCGCAGTTCGTCGAGCAGCGCCTTGAGTCGCGTCAACAGGTCGTTGACGCCAATCTGTTTGCCGGGCCGGCCAACAAGCGGTTGCTTGAACGTGAGCTTCTTCAGGCCCTCGCGTGCCTCGTCGCCGCGTTCCAGCTCTTGCTCTTGCTCCTGCTCCTGCTCCTGCTCCTGCTCGTCTTGCACCGCCTCGGGCGCGGCGGCCGCGCTGCGCCTACTGCGCGGTGCCATATCGCGTGGCTGCGCGTGGGCAGCGGCGTGCAGAGACGAGGTAGTGTGTTTCGGCTGTGGCTGCGGTTGCGCGCGGCAGTGGGGTCGTCGAGTAGCAGCGCGGTGATGGGCATGGGGCGGCGATGTTGAGGCCAACGTGCTTGTGGTCCGACTTTCTGAGCCGCGACGCGCTAACTACGCGACTGACGTCCGCCTGTCGGGACCGTGCTCCACCACCACCGCCCACCACTCCTGTACGCCCCAGCCCGAACACACGCACTCTCCGACACTACCAGCCCCTTGGCCTTGACGCGCATCTGGCCATGTCACATGGAGCGCCAACACACCTTCCTGCAGGTACGCTGTCTGCCCAGACCTCCCCACGTGCGCTGACCCCTCTCTCTCAGTTGAAGCAGCCGTGTGTCCAAGTCCTACAAGCCACGGCCACTCTCTCGCAGAGCCCAAGCGCTCCGAGGGAGCTGATCCACGCCCTCACCCGTCTGCTCACTAACCTCCAATCCATCACCTCCACACCTGGTCTCCTGGACGCTAAACTCACTGAGTACGCTTTCGTCTCTCTATCTCAGGTACTGCGGAATTCCCGACACGTCCCAGTCAGAGCGCTAGAGCTCTGCCTGGAATGCATCTCGACCTTGCTATCTGCTAATTGGGGAGGTGGCCTTGAGCCTGCGCTCTCTGGACAACTCCTCATCCTCTTCACCTTTCTCGCCAAACCTTCATCCGCCGAGAATGGCATCTCGGCCACCTCAGAGGAGCTACAGTCGCTCGCTCTCGGGTGCACATCCGAGTTGATGAGTGCGACGTCTCGTACCAAGCAGGGCAAAGAGGCCATGACGGCTGCGGCTAACATACCTGCCTTGGGCGAGGCTGTACTAGTCATGCTCGAACGTCTCACAGATAGCAACTCGAACACCGTCAAGCTGCAGTCCACTTGCGCCCTCAAACAAACTGTCGGCGCGATTGGCGATGACGATGCTCTTGCCAGCTTTCTGCCCAGGATAGTCTCGTCTTTGGCTAAAGTATTGACTCCCCATAGCAGTGTTCGACCCGGCTTTCGCGTTGTTGAGCAAGGCTTGGAAGTTCTTGCATCACTTCTTGTCCGTTTACTTGGCGATGCCCAGACCAAAGATTTGCCCGAGACACTACTGTCGGATGAGTCTGGCGGATGCACCACAATATCTCGATCACTCGCTTGGCTACAAGCAACTGCAACCCAGATGAAGATTGCGCTTGCCAATATCTTCAGATTGAGGGATCATGATAAGCAAGAGGTACGGCAAGCGCTCTCGAATCTGTGTCTTTGCATCGTAAGGGATTGTCGTACATCACTGTCTCTTTGCACAAGCATGGCTATCGAAACCATGGTCGATCTGGCAGGCCATGAGACCCCGGCCGACACCACTGAGGACAAACTCAAAAGACTGTTATCAGCAGACCAGAATCTCTCCGAACTTTTGCGCGAAAGTTTGCATGGTTGGATCGTCGCCTTGCCTAGATTGATGCGATCAAAAGACGACCGTACCCGCCATAAAATCGTACATCAGATATCAGTCTCGCTTCGCCTGTTCGATGAAGATCCAATGATTCTAGATGAGCGTCTGGCCGATAGTCTTCGGGATGGCGTGTCTGCAGTGTTTATCCATGGCAGGGGGCTCGAAGAAATAAACGACCGCAACACCAGTCTCGTCGCTGGTCGTACGCTGGTATTTAGCTCGACAGAGTCGTCTTCTTTCCCACTAATCAGCATGCAATTCAAAGGCCAGGAAGACATGATGAAGGGGTTTAAAGTATTAGTTCAAGAACTTGCGCGATCCAACTCTGCGTTGGCTGTTGCTCAGGGCCTGACCAATTCCGTCGATCTTGGGGCGCCCGAGATGCGCTTGGCGAGCTTCTGGCTCTCAGTCAATCTAGTAAGAGACATGGCATCAGTCAATCCATCTGTCGATGATTTCATGAATCTGGGAACGCCAAACCCGAGGGAGGAAGTCTTGGATGACTTGTACTCGCATTCTCTGTCATTGCTTAACCAGCGAACTGTGGACACCAACAGCCATTGGCATTTATATGCATTAGCGCTCGAGACGGTAGCTTTGCAGGCGAAGCGGTACAAGACTGAGTTTCGCCCTGAGTTGAGTGAAGTACTTTATCCGGTGCTGCATTATCTTGGCAGTTCCAACAGCGCACTACGCGAACACGCCCTGATTTGTCTCAATATCGTAGCAGGGGCCTCGGGATACAAGGACGCAGGGGAGCTTGTTGTCAGTAATGTCGATTACATTGTCAACGCAATTGGCCTAAAGTTGGCATATGGCGATGTGTCGCCTCAAGCACCACAAGTCCTACTCATGATGATAAGGCTTTGTGGCCCACCTCTCCTACCTTACCTAGATGACTTGGTGGATAGTATTTTCAACGCCTTGGAGAGATATCATGGCTATCCTAAGCTTGTGGAGCTGCTTTTCAACGTCTTGAAAGGCATGACGGAACAAGGTGTCAAAGCACCACAACTTGCCGTGTCAGCCGACAATAAGAAAGAGGAACATGTGCATCTGAAGAGAACGGTCGTCATGAACGATGTCATCGAAGCAATTCAAAAGTTCGAGGTAGAGACACAAGAGCGGGAAGAGGAAGAGAAGCAAGCGTCAAGGGAGGCACTCCCACGAAAGCCCTGGAAAGTCGGAAAGACTTCAGAAGATACCGACTCCAATAGCACGGACGAGGAGAACGGTCGCCCGCCTCCCCCGCACACCGAGGAGTCTTCCCCTCCCGCCCCACGTGCCTTTGCTATTCTCCTCAAAATCTCCGAGTTGACACAGCACTATCTCACCACCATGTCGCCTAACCTCCGGAACTCGCTTCTGTCCCTCCTTCGTACCACTATACCTGCTATTGCAGAACACGAGAACTCACTCCTGCCCCTCATTAATACGCTCTGGCCTGTATTACTACCTCGTCTACAAGATTCGGAAGCATACGTGGTATCAAATGCGCTCGATATTGTAGCATTGATGTGTGAACACGGAAAAGATTTCATGCGAACTAGGATCGATGATGCATGGAACATTACCAGGAAGGTCTACGAACGCACTAGACAGAACGACGACTGCAACAGGAAAGGCAGCTTCCAACCGATGTCGCTAGAGATCAAGGCTATCGGGACTGGCCTGACGAGGCTCGCCGTGGACTCGCAGCCTACGGCCGACTTTTCACCAGTGGAGCTGTACGTTGATACGCCTACACGGATGATCTGGAACAGTCTGACCGCCTTGCTATGCGCCATTGCGAAAAACGTAACGATGCGGGATGAGCGCTTCGAAGAAATGCTGGACATGCTGGACCCTGTGCTAGCGAGAGACGACGTACGCGGAGCGCTGGGTCACAGCAACGCCGACGCGATATGGTTGCGACTATACAAAAAGCGGCAGGGGACTGACAGAGGGAAGCATTCTAGGTCATTTGTATCAACAAAAGCACATGAGGTAGCAGGCAAAATACCCGTAGGCAAGCCCCACTGGCATTTCGTGCAAGCCTAAAGCGAAACGATGTCTGCACAGCCACGGATGTCTATCGAAGAGCTTTCCATTCGGCCAGGCGCAGCAGCAGCAACAGTGCAGTTGACCTGCAGTATTGAAGGATTCCCATGTAACCATACTGTTATCGTATGTATGGAATAATTGGAAGTTCAGATACTTTAGTACTAGTGCAAGCATTTCACCCGTCTGCCCCTCCATCTAGCATCGCATGCTCCTCGTTCTTAAATTTTCAATATGGCCCAGTCACTGTAACTTTGCTACTCCAGTGTCACGCTATAGATTAGCTGTGAAGGGGACTCTTTCTCCGTTACTTATCGCTCACTGTTTGGTGCACTTTTCTATAGATCATGAAAACATAGAAGAGAACCCCAAATTGACAGCATTCTGTACAATACATAACCCAGCTTTCTTCATGGTATCCGCCTCACATTTTGTCCATGTCTGATCACTCGTACATGTTCTCAAGGATGATAAAATGACTTTGCGGTCTTTTTTCCCCGTTCTTTCGCTCAACTTTCAGGACTAATATAGGTATTATACTAGCTGATGTACGCCTTTTGTCACAGCCAGATCTTTGGGTCTTCTGACTGCGCGTTCTTTACATGAAGCAACTCAGATATTCTACGTTGCACGTGTGACCTCGTATAACCACAAAGGTGCAACACGAGGGTCCTTGCAGGGAGTATACCCTAGAGCAGAGGGACAGCAACGTAGTCTATCATACATAAGGTTGACGGCAGGACCGAAGTGAAATTCGTCAAGTGAGTGTTCAAATTGTACAGCGCGCCAAGAATGTCACAAGATGAGACTATTCGGAACCAGCCCGGGCCCCACAGACCAAGCTCAAGACCATGGCTACCAGCAACGCCGACTGTGACCAGCAAACCCACATCACCGCACTAAATCCAAACACACTGAACCCAAACACACTGCAATACGGCATCATCTCCAGGCGCACAGCACGTACTATCGTCTACGTCCCAACAACACCACAAGGCGCGAAGATGCCACCAGCCCGTAGGCACTCCCGTCGCGCTCAAGCGCGTCGCAAACCACACGTAGGCGGCCACGACGCAGTGCACTAACAAGCTACCAGCGACCCGCGCCGTCTCGTCCAAAGAGCTCCCTCCTTCGGTCGAAGGCGCCTACTACCGCAAATGCATCGACCTCCGCCGCCGCATAACCGACATTGAAGAGAACAACGACGGCACGCGCCTGCGCATCACACGCCTGAACCGCGGCATCCAGAAGATGCGCCTCGAGCGCGCATTCCTGCTCGAGCAGCTGAACAAGCACATGGAGTACAATGTCGACGACAGCGATCGCAGCAGCAGCCCACCGCCCACCCCAACCGATAAGCCCTTGAGGAGCAAAAGGAGCCACAACAGGAAGGGCACGCCTCCTCTTGGTGGCAGCGCCGAGGGCCGACTGGGACTGGGCCCCCTGCCGCATGCCATCAACCCTATGAGCAGTGCGCAGAGTACACCAGACCCGTCGGGACGGCCCCAGAACAGCTACTTCGGTGCCATTGGCGCTGCCACGACGACCAGTCCACACACCGCTGTCAACGGCGCACCTCCTACACTTCCTCCCCTGCACGCGCTCCCGCCGCTGCACGCACAGCAGCCGCAACAGCAGCCACCCCCTCAGCGCGCCTACTTCGACCCGGCTTACGATGAACAGCGCCCGCCCGCGACCGACGCTGCGCCCCCTCCACCGCACAACGGTGATACCGACATGACAGATGCAGCTTTCACAGCCGTCAACCGCTAAGACTGCGAAGCCGCGCAGCCCCTTTTGACGGCAAGCGAGAACAGATGACAGTAACCAGAAACACCATGGGAGGGCAGCGAGGCGTTTGGGCTTCTCAGAGTTCTAGGTAGGGGGGGGGGGGGGGGGGGGGGGGGGGGGGTTTT